GTCTAGGTGTGAGCTCAATTTTCTTCTTGCTCAGTTGACGATGTGTGTACATATCACTATGTGCTATATGTATCTGGTCCCAAAGAACCCATTTGGAACGATTGTCCATGGTAGTACAACGGACCAGGCGATCCCCCCTCTCCATTCCTGATCAATGTTTGAGAGCTCAAATCTCTTCGCACGTCGTTTCTCAGGTGTAATGCCAGGGTATTGACCAGCTTTCTGAGAGCGTCGGGAACGGCGTAGAACCATTTTTGATAAATATATAAAAGTACTCACTAGTCTGTATTCTATTATTTGGTAGTGCAATTGAATATGTCCGGGATTCGGCATAGAACTAGATTGTAATACAGTTGATGCTCAATGGTAACATTTGCTATAGCTTTTTGCTTTTTTTAAAGAGAATAAACGTTAAGCTTGGTTGTTTTGCAAGATTACATACATATATCCATTTTATCATTTTAAAAACAAACAAATAAGCTGAACAAACGAGTGGTTTCTAGTTTTAAGTTTGAACTGAGAATTCAAACTAGTTGAGGGACATTATTTTCTGGGAAGTGTGCTTACTGCATTCCCACGCAGGAATGTACGCAGTAGCCGATCTACTCTATCTTCATAAAATATCCGATGACATCATAATTTGTAGACGTTGATTGGTTTGTTTGCCATAGAAATTTAGATTTGTGTAATTTTTTTTATTGCTCCACATATGTAAGTCCATCCATATCATTAATTCATTCAACAATGTTTTTTTTTTCAACAAAAACATCCGTAGGGACCAAAAGGGGCCAAGGTGACAAACATAATGGACGCAAGATCACATAATATAATAATATCACAGAATATAAAACGAAATACATTAAGTATAAGATTCGGGCACCAGCATCGTTGCATATTTCACAAATCCAGAGACTGGTCAATACCTATAAATATGTGGGCCAGGTTTTTTCCAATATCTCAAAACCAGCAGGCATAATAACAAACATTATATTTCTCTCTACGGACAAATACAATAATCCAAAATGATTAGTATCCTGACAACTCTTTCTCTCGCAGCCAGCCTTGTAAGTGCTAGAAGCGCTAGCATCGACGTTTGGTCAGCTCCTGGTGATGGGAGCATTAACGCCAGGGGTATGAGCCGAACCGTGTACAGGACCAATTTGGGACATGTGGTGCACGACCACAACGACGTTACTGTTAATCTAGGAGACTACGAACATGAAACAACACTGGGCCGCTTTGAGAGATGCTTGAAGGCGTGAGCCAACCATAAAGGGTGCATGAGTTTTGACTTGGTCGAGGATACGATGAAGTGCTACCTCTCGTAAAAGGCCGTTTCGGGTTCTGATAAAGGACTTAAGACAGATGGGCATGCCGTCTCGGGCTATTTCGTTCGAAATGAGCATCATCTACTGAATGACAAGGATTGGGTTGCTTGGAGTGGAAGTCGGTCGGTCGGTACCGGAAATGATCGTCTGCAGTATCATTTCAAGACTGGGCACGTTGTGCATGGACATAATGATAAAACTGTCAGCTTGAGGCATTTGAGTAAGAAAACGCTCGCCAAACGAAGGGAGTATTGTGCACAAAAGTGCTACGAGCATGATTGGTGCCAGAGCTGGGATCTGGTTGAGGACAAACAAGTGTGCTATCTTTCCAAGAAAAAGGTTGAATGGGACACGGACGGGCTCAAGACCGATCCAGAGGCTATCTTGGGCTACTTTGAGGACCGAGACTAGTGTTGTAGACAATTCAAATAAGTATTACACGGTATCACTTTAGAAAGCTTCGACGTTCATTTTGGAATAAAGTCAGTGTACCTTAGCTACACCTCCACATGAAAAATAAGATACTGTATGACCCAAATCAAGAGCCTATTAATATCTGGGTAGCACCAGTGGCAGAAATGCCAAAGTATGTATATTTAATTGTAGATAGTTTAAAAAAATATTGCTCAGTTATATATATATATATA